AGATTTATGATACAGGTTCAATTAATTCATAGATTCACAAATAACTCAACACCATGTACAAATAACTCGGTACCCATTAAACTTCATAAAAGGTTACTTTGATGCTTTCAGCCTGAAAAGAAAACCTATATAAAATAGTATAAAATGTAGACTGTATCAGTGTACGTTTGCACAAAGTAGGGGCTGGGAAACCTTTGACTTCTTTTCTTAAAGTGTTTCAAACAAATTAAAAAACAGATCCAGGAAAACAGTTGTGGATTATTAAGGAAGGGGCTTTATATCTGATTTTTTTCCCACTTCAAAAGTCAAACTGAAGCAGTCCACAGATGATTCTGTTAGGGGAAGGATTCTGGAGTAAGCAGACGCAACAGCTATTGATTAACAGGCTGAGTTCTGGAGAAATAAAAAGAATATTAGCCAAGAATAAATGTAACCCTTCTAACAAAAAATAGTTCTCATTGTTCCTGGATAATGCTCTATCGATATTGCTTTCTGTTCTACCTATGTGTTGAGCTCTTTTAAAAACTGATCTCCATTAATACAATGCATACAATGGGGAAAAAGAAAAAGCTAGGAAATCCAGCGGCTGAAATGTCTTCAAGAAAAGGAGTCAAAATAACCATCGTTTTAGGATTTCCTTGCTTTTCCTGTTCGATTTGCTTAGAAAGGTTCAATGGAGGTAGGAGGCATGGAGATGGGGATTGGATTGGCATATGAGGAGCTTCAGTAACATGTCCAAGACAAACTCTATCCAAAGCACAAGAAGAAAAGCGCCCCACCCCAAAAACAAAAACAAAAATCCCACTTGTAATCTGAGGAGGTACTCGGGTTGAGCCAGCATTTTCCTAGTAGTGTTGTCTTAATTCTTACTCGCATCAGGGCTGAGATTTAATGAGCATTTGTGTGAGAAGTAAGAGAAAAATGTAACTTCTAAGGTTTATTAGAAAAAAAATATCTCACCCCAGATAAAGCAGAATTTTACAATGGCTGATATTCAGAAATGAGCTAGAAAAAAATCTACCTCATAACATAAGATCTCTCAGTCTTAGATAGGGCAGAGCAGGAAAAAGAAGAAAACATTACATCAATAATTCCTAGCTTCAAATTTGTATTCATGTAGATATGAAGGCTAAACCTTATCACGGTTGTTTCCCTAAAACATCTGACGTCAAAAATTGTGTTGAAGGGTATTCTAGGCCAACATTCCTATTAAGATACGAGACAGAAGTAATATAATTTCTGAATGAAAATATTTACGCTTTACATTTTTCTCTAAGTGCTCTAGGAGCACTGTGTGAGGAGTTAAAGAAAAAGAGGATCATGGAAGGCGAGCAACTTGAGCTAAGGGGCATACAATTGAAGTATATATGCAAAAGTGAAGTATAATATGCTCTTTGCAGGAAAAACATTGAGCTTTTGTACACAAAGTGAGGCATGGCTAACAAATTTCAAAAATAACTCCATTTCAGTTTTATCTCCTGTCAGAAGTCTATCATAGGAAAACGTTATTTCCAACACATTGCATGAGCACACACATTGCCTTTCTGTTTCCTGCTTACTCAGCGTGGTTTGCTTAACACTTTTTGAGATTCCTCTCCTCCAGCCTCTTGCATGCCTCTAGCTTTTTCTTTCCTGCTAACTCAGCCTCCTCTTTTGATCAAGATATCATTCTCAAAAAAAGCAAACTCACTGTCATTCAAGTGCAGTTTGGCTCATAGCGACCTCATTGAACAAGGTAGAAGTGCCCCCTGTGGATTTCCAAGACTGCAACTCTTTACAGGAGTAGAAAGTCTCATTTTTCTCCTACAGTGTGGCTCCTGGTTTTCAATTTTTGCCTTTGCAGTTAGTAGCCCAACACGTAACCCACTCTGCCATTAGGGCTCCTTAAGATCTCACTAGGAGAGGCTAATCCCCTCATCTACAATGGTGTAGCTCTTCTGCAAGGATGTGGATAATTGTGAGGAAGAGCATTATATATATAAATATCTGCATTTTTCCAAGCTTGGGGGCTTCTTTTTCAGAATGAGTAGATTCCTATTGGTATTTTATGAGCAGACAAGATCAAATTAGAGGAACAATTTAGAGTGAGATCATACAGCAAGGATCAGTATAACAAGGTAAGATAAAAAGGGTGTGTTATTTTCATTATTTTGTGTGTTCTGATAGAACAAGTACGTAGTTTCCTAAAATACATAATTCTATGCCTGACTAAAGAAGTGTTAGCCTGGTTAAGATATTTTTTAAAAGTCAGTATACAGCATTTAATTAATCCTATCATGATTGGGAAGGAGCCCTGGCAGGTTATGAGCTGGCGTGCTAACTGAAGCGTCAGCATTTTTAATCATTTCTGATCTGGGGATCAAGATGAGGCTTTCTGTCCCTTTAAAGATTTACAGACTCTGAAACCCAAATGGGAAATTCTCCTCTGTCATAAAGACCTGGCATGAGTTAGGATTAAGTTGATGGTGCAGTTTTTGTTGTTGTTGGTGGTGCTGGGGCAGTTTATAATGATTAGCAGACAATTAGGAGAATTAAGCTAGTTTGTAAAATAGAACCAATAGTGAATCAATAGAACCATAGCCAAGAACCAATAGTGTTGAGCAACAAGATAAAATGTTCAAAAAGTTAAAATTGGGGAGGGGTACCTTTGGTGGGTAGTTTTGTAATATAACTGTATCTATATCCCTTGAGGTATTAGCAACGTGTATCAAGTGGTATTAACAATGGCACACAGTTTCCCTTGTTGAGTTAAAAAGGCAATACAATATTATTATATTATGTAATAAGGGTGTTTAAAGATTTATGCCTAGCTACAGAGAAAAGGTTTAGCTTTCTTGAGTTGGAACACGTGGATCAAAGCTTTAATTCACCCAATTTTAGCTGCAGAAGGATTTGTGGGGATAACTTTTTCAATTAATGCACAAGGAGACTTTGAGCTGGTGTCTGCTCCAGTAGATTTGGTATTCTGGGAGCCATATTACGCTTGTCTTGAGAATTTTATCCCCAGTAGTCTAACAGCTACACAAAATATGACCTTGTGTATATCACACCTGCACCATTTGTGGACATTCTGAGGAATAGATCACTGAACAGTAATAACCGAACACCTGACAAATTGTAATACGCTATCAAAGACATCAGACATGAAGGAATTAAGTTGTCATTATAAAGAGAAGGGGAAAAAAGACCAAAACCGATGTCAGAAGAGACTTTGACACTTGCTCTTGAGCAGAGTAGCTACAGTAACCAGTGAACAGAAGAAATGATGAAGTAGCGAGCTGAACAAGGGGCTTAAAGGGTGGCTCAAAGGACCTAGCAAAGTGTTATATTGAAATGTGCCAAGACCTGCAGTTAGAAAATCAAAAAGGATGAACACATCCAGCATTTCTCCAGGTGAAAGAACTTAAGAAAGAATTCAAGCCTTGTGTTGCTGTATTCAAAGGTGGGTAAAGTTTCAAATGATTCAGGAAGCATCCAAAGATGCAAGAAATACATAGATTCTCTGTACCCAAACAAATGGTTGGCATTCAATCATTTCAAGAGTTATGAGAACCAATGGCGCAGGAAGAAGAAGTCCAAACTATATTCAAGCTATTGTTGAAAACCAGGGCTCCGAGAATTGGCGGAATACCAATTGAGATGTTTCCCAAACTGGATGCAACACTAAAACCACTAATTAATCTATGTCAAGAAATTGGGAAGGCAGCTACCTTGCCACCTTTGTGCCAAATTTCAAATGCAGAAATTATTGAACAAAATTAATATCATATAAAAGTAGAATTTAGCTGAATACAATTTAAAATGGTTTCAACAATATATCATCATGAGCCTGTCAGAAATTAAAGCTGGATTCAGATGAGACCCTAGAAGAAAGATGTCCCTGCTGATGTCAGATGGATCTTTGCTGAATGCAGAGAATAACTGAAAGAGGTCTACTTATTGATTGTGCAAAGTCATCTGACTAGCTGTATCATCACAAATTATAGATGACATTGTAAAGAATGACAATTACAGAACATTTAATTGTGCTCATGTCGAACCTCTACATAGATTGATAGACTGTGAATCAAGCAGAAACAGGTGTGCCTCAGGGTTACATCTGATCCAATCTCTTTGCTGTGCCTGCTGCAAAAATATATTGTTGAGCTACCATTTGCTTGAAGACTTATTCCTGTGTTTCTCTGTACCAAGTCTAACCTGAAGAAAAAAAAGTATGTCTAATATTTTTAATCCCTATGCCTATTGCCTATAGCATGAACCTCACGGAAGTTTTAGGAAGAGCTGCGCCAGCAAGACAAAGAATTTCGCAGTGTTTAGACTTTGTATTCATTTCTCAGTCGGCTCGCTAGAATCAGTCATTTGGTATGTCACATCCATTTTCTTTTTTTTTCTTCATATCCATTTTCAAGATGATGTTTCTTCTGAGAAATTCTCACCCCACCATGCTACATCACTCCAGGTGTCATAAAAGAAGAAAGGATACTACAGAATTGGCAAGAGTTCCTCACTATAGATTGATTAAAGATTATTTTGTGTAGCACCTACTTCAGGTTCCTTTTTGTACATATTGAGAAACTTCTTTAGTTGTGGCATTAATAACATAATAATATCAATGTAGAATCTTTCTGTGTCATAATATAAAGAAATGACACTGTTATATTAATTTGGTCTATCTACAAAGTCTCATATATTGGCAGAATATCTCTGGTAAAATATTTGCTTATTTTTTTCTTAAAGGCATTTTGGAGAGAAATTGGACTAAAGGAGTCCATCGAGTGTCATTTGTCCCCAAAGAAAGAAGAATACGACTCACATATACTCATGTATCCACGAGGGTTTTTCAGTTAAGGTTGATGAATGCTTATGAAATGTGACCTTATTAAGTCAATGTTTGTAATTTAGTGTAAATTAGCCACATGTATGACTGGGGGAAAAAGATAAATATTTTTTTCTTTTGTGGGGAACAGTGCCATTTCCTTCTCTTGTCTTTTCTTCAGCAGATGGCATCAAGCAGGTCCCTGGAACAGAATGGAAACTACTCTTCTGTGACTGTGTTTGTTCTCCTGGGTCTCTCAGATGAAAAAGAGATACAGCTCAGGCTCTTTTCACTATTCCTAGGGACCTACCTCGTGACCCTTATCTGGAACCTGGGCCTCATTCTCCTAATCAGGATGGACACCCACCTGCACACTCCTATGTACTTTTTCCTCAGTTTCCTTTCATGTATTGACATCTGCTATTCTACTTCCATCAGCCCCAGAATGCTTTCAGACTTATTTAAAAAGGAAAAAACTATCCCCTTCGTTGCCTGTGCCACTCAGTATTTTGTTGCAGATTGGATGGGTCTGACTGAGTGCTGTCTGTTGGCTGCCATGGCCTACGATCGATATGTAGCCATTGGCCGCCCTCTGCAGTACTCAACCATCATGGCTCCTCAGCTCTGTGGGAAGATGGTCGCTGGGGCCTATGTGAGTGGTTTGATTAGTAGTGTATCTCTAACAGTCTCTTGCTTTAGTCTCTTCTACTGTGGACCAAATATTATTCAACATTTCTTGTCTGACTTTCTCAAGATAATTTCCTTGTCTTGCTCCAATCCCTTCATCAGCCAAATGATTCTCCTTCTGGTAGCTACGATTTTTGGATGTGGTTCTCTGTTTATTATCCTCTTTTCCTATGGTTTCATTGTAACTTCCATTTTGAAAATATCCTCCAGCAAAGGTAGCGCCAAGGCCTTTAACACCTGAGCCTCCCACTTGGCAGCGGTAACTCTCTTTTTCGGCACAGCCATTTCTGTGCATTTGTTTCCCAAGTCTAGTCAATCCATGAAGCAGGATAAGGTGCTATCAGTGTTCTATGTCATCATCACCCCCATGATAACTCTCTGATCTACAGTCTTGGGAACAAGGAGATCAGAGCCGCCTTCAAGAGGCTTACAAAGAGGGCTTCCAGTTTACCTCAGTTAAAATAACATTTATGTTGGTATTACTATTTCTAAAGGAAAATAGGGGTAGAAACATGTGACATATTACAGCTCACATAAATAATCAAACCTAATCAACTGCCATCAAGTTAGTTCTAAATAATTGAGACCCTGTAGGACACTTTAGAACTCCTTGTTTGGTATCTGAGGCAGTAAGTAAACCTGTAAAGGAGTAAAAAGCTTCATCATCTCTTTCTGAGTGACTGATAGGTTCTAACTACTGACCTTATGGTTAGCAGTCTATTATGCAGTGCATTAAGGCTTGAGACCCTTTGAATAACTAGACAATGAAAAGTAAAAACTTAACTTTCTTATGACTTGGTGCCATCATGGTAGGCTTCCATCAGCAAGTAATCTCATGCTGTAAATTTGAATAGAGCTTAAAAAGCCAATTTCTCTAATTAAAACTGAGGTGGATGAAAGCCTGAAAAGCGACCATGCTTTCAGCAGAGTAGTGCTGAAATGGCAAGACTCTATCACACCAAACAGCATGTTCCCTCCTCTATAGATTTGCTTGATTTTAAAATTTTTTATTCAATATTTATTGTTGTAATAAAAATAAAATTAAGTGATATGTCAAATTAAATATATGAAAAATTAAAAACAATTGTTATAACTTTGGATATAAAAGAATACTTTATAACTTTGGTTCCAAATCAAGAGAGAAGAGAACGAGAAGTGTGGAGATTGGAATGAGCTGAGTTTACTTCTCAGGAACTTTGTTCCTTCTACTTTAGCTCTCAAATAAAAGGTCAATTAATTGTGAAAATGGTACAGTCCATAGGAAGAATAGGATGGAGAGGACACATTCAAGTTAAAGGGTTGGGAGGATTCCAGAATTCTGGAAAGAAGATAAAGGTCAGCAATTTCTGGCCATTGACAGGCCTGTAGTATGCTCCATAGTAGCATCTGGGTTATGTGCAGACCATTACGAATGATGTCTTTCTTGGTGTTTACAGGCAGGCAGGTCTTGAGTTTCAGAAAGCTGAGTCTTTCACTGAGCCAGGGCCTTAGGGATTGACAAAGGAACATCTGGTTCACCAGCCAGCGGGTACCATAGAGATTTGGAATGCAATGGGAAGAATTTAAAGAAAAACTCACACAAAGGCATTTCTTTCGGACAGAATTTCAAGGACCAAGTTTCATATATATTGTGTTAGCATTAATATAGCATATTACATTTGACATAGTTGTGTTACCGATATTTGATTGGAAAAGGTGTTTTTTCCCCCCATTCTAAATGTATCCACAGTCATTAGGAAAAGCTTATAATCATGAGTGGGACAAGATCAGAGACATGACAAAGTGGAGCATCACAAAATCATCAGGGACAAAAACTCTTGAGATTAAAGAGCATCAGTTGGAGCATATCCTTCTTCAAACTACCTTGTCTCCTTTCATCTCTGCTCCTAAGGACACACTTAGAAGCATGCCGAGTTGTGGACAACTCTTTTGCTCTGTGATAAGACAGTCAATTTCATCAACCAACAGAGGTTTGGGGGTGCCATAGGATTCACTTGGAAAATTGCTTTGTAAAAGAAATATGCATGTTACTTTAAGCAAGAGCTCTGTTCTTGGAGTGTCCAAGTCAAGGTCAAAAGACAAAGCCCAGAGAGATCAGTTGATTTTACACTCTGTTCAATACTCATAGTAATTCTCTTAGTACATCTACCTACAGACAAGGTTTATGGGCTTCAACATTTTCCATCCTTCAACTCTATTCTCTCCTTTATTTGCACTGCTCCAGGAAGAGCTATTCTACACATTCTCTTTCTCTTTATACATATTCTCTAAGAATTTTGTTCATTTTCTAACTTTTAGTGAGAAGACCAACTTCTAATATAAAATTTTAGGTATTAATCTGGATAGGGCAAGGGTTTAGATTCTGGCAATGCAATTTCTTAAAGATGTGACTGAGTTCTGTTACCCGATATTAGGAATATTTAGAATTAAATAAAGTAATGCCTGTAAAGTCTGATGTATTTTTAACGGCAATAATTGAAGACTGAGTAGAAAATAACTATTTAGTAAGGGTTAGCACCGGTAGCACTGGGCTCCTATCAGAAAGGTCAGCAGTTTAAAAGCACCAGCCAGTGCACAGGAGAAACACAGGCCTTTCTACTTGCATAAAGATTTACAGCCTTGGAAACTCATAGGGCAACTCTACTCTGTTCTATAGTTGTTATGTGCCTACATCGATGGGGTGGCAGTTAGTTTGTTTTTGTTTTGAGGGGGATTTCTTTAAAAAAATCATTTTATTGGGAACTCATACAATTCTTTTCA